AGCACAATGGGGTTGTAGTCCGGGCTTTACATTTTGCTATCAGAGGACAGCTTTGAGCAACCTGGTCTAGTTAAAGATGTTCCCACCCATGGCAGAGGGGCTGGAGTGAGATAAGTTTTAAGGACCCTCCCAACCCAAACTATTCCATGCTTCTTTGATGAATTTCTCATATTTGGTAAAAAGAAAAAATGTGGGCATGCTGCCATGAGACGTGGACTGTAAAGCCCTTTCAGTCAGTAAAGTGATGGTAAAACAAAAATTGCCTAAGAACATCCTATATATATATATATAAAGAAGTACCTTTCACCTGAATTTTGCTAAAATCCCCAACATCCCGAGTGGTAAAAGCACTTGAGGATATTGCTACGGTTATTGTAAGGGAGCTTTTGAGTGGTCTCTTCAACACCTAATATATCTTGGAACACATGGTGTTACCACAATTAAAACATTGATCTTCAACATAGTTTTTAAAGCATTACATCTGACTTTAAGGACAATCAAGGTTTTTGATATTGAATTCTCAGTGTTAGTTACTTGAATAATACTTTCAACTTCAATACTTTAATACTCTTCAATACTTTACTGCAATATCTATTCAAATATCCCAAGCAATGAACTCTGAACCACAGTAATGACCATCAAAGGTTGATGGGGATTTTTTGGTAATGACTGAATTTTAAAACCTGAATATATATCTAAATGAAGCATGTGTTCTGCAGATATCTTTGCTTAATTGGTTTATAAAGTAGGAAGCTTGAAGAGTTTTTAAAATTTGTTAATATAAAAGCTGGCTTAGGTGAATGATGACCTTCCATATTTTTAGATAAAGACATTTCTTGAAGACTGCATTTTGAACAGAAACCAAATTATATTGCTTACAGAAAGAAGGAGAAATAAGATACCTATGGCTGATTTGATTCTGTTTTGTATTGTACTGTGCTTTGTAGGAAGTAGAAGGTAACACTGCTGCTATAAAAAAAAAGCAAAAATTCCCAGAGGGTGAAAAAGGTGTTATGAATAAACAATTACAGAAATAGTATTGCTCATAGCAGTGATATTTTCAAAGAATATTATGTAGACTTGGATTTGCTCCCAGTTATGTTTGTAAACATCAGCAAAACTTCAGAAGTTGCTAAATAAAAGTTTGCATGTGTTTGTTATTAAGACCAAAGGTCTTACAGTCCAGTTTTCCATAGTTCTTAAAAATTGCATGTTTTTTTATGCTTCTATTACAAGTACATCAAAGTAATCTTCTAATTTAATTGATTGCATTTTTTTACTACTTATGTTGTGCATTCACTTACAGTCTTTATTTTAAGTTCAAGGTGAACAAAAGAGACCTCTTCTTGCCAAGAACTGTCTATCTAGTTCACATTTCAGAAAAACTTTGATTACATGTCCTGTCGAAAGCCACTGCTGGACAAGACAACTACTTGGGTCATCAAACAGACTCATATTTGAACAGGTTGAACAGTTCTAGTGGAGGAAGCTGTTTTGCTGACATCTTCCTAGACAAACCGTTGCTTTCACAAGCAGGCATAAATTAGTACTGCTTGTACCTTTCAGAGCTTTGAGAAAGAAAATGGGAATGAAGAGACACTGGTCATTCAAATACATGTCTAGGTAAAAATAATGTAATATAGTAGCACAAAATCTTTCCCCATGACCTCATGTGTTCTTATCTCTGCTAATTGATTGGATTGTGAGGGTTTGCTGTTCTTGAGGGTCTTGTGCTAAAAACATTATTTATGTTTGCATGTCAATCAACAAACTTTAAATACTTTGTGGATTCTCAGTCTAAACCTCTGAACTATCTGATAGCTATTGAATTGTATGTCCTAGCTGGGAAGACACAACAAAATAGTCCAGTTATTTGAGAAAAAACTTTGCTGTTTACTGTGTCAGCTGTTAAAGGAGCCAGCTGCATGCCTCACAGCACATTAGGTGGCTTTGTTACTGAATTTCCTGTTTATTTCCAAAACGAGATCAGGTCAGATGCATCTGAAACTTGAAGTAAAAGGCTTGAGGGAGAATATTGGTGGCAGCAAAGGAGAGATACAGGTCAAGACCTCTCTTACTAATTCTGCTACTTCATGGATGCTGCCTTCTAGGTTTAAATACATGCATTTCTTTCCTTCCACATGTTGAAGACTGGAAAGCTTTCCCGTCCTTCATAGCAGGACTAGAGGAAAATCAGACATTGGGGTCCAGTATTCTAAATCTAGGGCACTTGCTTTAGCAGGATGATTTAAGGATCAGTCCTTGAACTGGGAGAGATAGGTAATAAAGAAGCCAGGCCTTTAAGCTGTCTGGTAATGGTGACCCTCTTCAGTGAAGCAGTGAAATTGTTTGGAAAGCCTCTTACCAGTAATTGCAGCTGTTTTGTTGACTGCACAAAAGAACTGGTTTGTTCTCTCTGTCTTGTTGAGTCTTTACTGGTACTTAGCAGTTGATCTGATAATATTTACTTTTAAGTAGCCAATCTGTAGTTAAGAGCAATATTGCTTGCAATATCTAGATATTGGGAAGAGGGAAAACAATAAAGTTTTATTGTGTTTGCAGACAAGTCCATTGTGACCCTATGATATAAACTCATGAGCACAGCCTGACCCTTCAGGGCAGGAAGACTGCGCTGAGGTATGAAGAGTGTGGATTTCTCTCTCTTGCTGTAAATCTAGAGAAGAAAGATCTGAAACCCAGTTTGGTGATTTGGTCCCTGCTGCCTATTTTCATACATGTTTTGTAGTTAGTTGTCTACTTCGTCAACAGCATGACATAAAGAAAAGTACCATCCCATATGCCTATATAATATATCATTCTAGCTAATTGTCATAATCACTTACAAAAAGCCTAAAAGCATCATTCCCCCCTGCCCCTCTGCCAGAATGGTACTGCTCTGCAGCTAAATTTCTACCAAAGTTTAGTTTGAGTGCAGTTCTGTAGTGACAGAATGGCTGATGACAGCATAAGAATGAACTGCTAAATTCTTATGTAAGACTGCAATGCTATGCTATATACCACTGTAAGTAAGTATCTCTGCTTGAAAATCCAGAAGCCAAATGTCAGGTTCATTTGATTTAACCTAAAAGGAATGTTTTCTAAACTTAGGCATTCATAAAATGTGTCTGAAAGTTTTTATATTTATGCAACCTTTAAAGTATCTCTGAGTGATTGAGACATAATTGTGTCTTAGGTGAGGCAGTTGTGACTTGGAGCCCACATGCACAAGTCCTGGCATATCTTTACTGGCTTCTGGAATGAGAAGCATAGCTTAAGGACACCTGAGAAGTGTGGCTGAATCAGCTTGGCTTGTCAGTTTGGTCTCAGTGCCCTCAGTAGAAGGTGGAGGACTGAAACAGCAGCAGAAGAGAGGAGCTAGTGATGGTATGAATTAGAAATTGTGTTTAAGTTGGAAAAGGATTCAGAAGAGGTGCCAGGAGAAGGAGATGGACTTAAAAAAAAGGAAGTTGGGAACTAGACTTGAGGAACCACATCACACAGCCTAATTTTTCAAGTAAATCCTGACAACAAAACTGAAAAGCCTGATTTATAATGTGGAAATAATTTTCTTGTCCTCCAGAGTTGCTGTTTGTGCAGAGGAGGCCACAATAGGGACAGCCAAGTTTTAAGTTGTGCAAATAAATAAAAAAAGTTTCAACTTGTCCTTTTAACAGCATGTTTCTTATAAAACATCCAGCACAGTCAGATTATATTACTAAAACAAATATACAGTCAGGAACAAAGCCAGAGGATCAGTTACAGTTCTGGTTTATCAAGAACAACAGTTCTTGTTTCGGAGCAGAGGGAACTGAAATACTCTAGCACTTGGAGACATGGTAATTAATGTCTCCTTAATAAGTACTTGGTGAAAGGCTTATGTACTGGGTGTTCCCTGTAAGTGACTGAAAGACACATTGTTGGTGTGGCAGAAACTCAGACCTCAGAGGTTTGTAGCTGAATTCTTTCATTAGGTCCTTGGTTTCTTAGCCTTTGTACCTCTACTTTAATGCTAGAACTCATGTGCATTCTTAACTGTGTCTGATATGGAATAAAATGGAAATGCAAAGGCCTTGTCTGCCCTGACAGTCCTTGCCCAAGAGGTTTTAGAAGTACATATTTTTCACATTGGCGTGAGTAGTTCTTTGCACACTGTACATTTGCTTTTAGAGTCTGAGTTGGGATGAACTCCTTAAAATGAGTCCTGTAGACTGCACTAAAAATAAACTAATGTTCCACTCACATTTGAAGGCTTTCAGATATTGGATTCTAATGTAACTTTGTACTATGGTTACTCTCTAATTAAGGATAGCTTCTGTGGGTTAGAAAGTGTGCTGTCTAACCCCAATGAAAATGAGATGTATTAGCTGTTTGCTCAGCAAGTGTTGAGTAACTGTTTTCAGCGTATTAAAAAAAAAGAACCCCTAACTATATCTATTTGGTATCTATACTGTAAAAAAAGAACAACTTTGCCAGAATGTACTTTATCTTTTCATTGTAAGGATAGACTTCATTAACTTCCATAACAAATTTTAAGTTTTATGAATGAGTCCATTGGTGTTTGACAAACTCTGTCTTGAAAATACATCAAATATACATTGATAAAAGGCCTCCATGATTGCTATAAATTGTGACTTAAATATTCATAGCTAAGGACATATATTTCAAATCCTCTCAGTTTATCTCTGTTTACCCTGACTTCTTTTACAGTTCTGTCCTCTATGCAGCTCTGTGCCTATAAATTAACTGAAGAGTAACATACTCAGGTTGTACAAGTCATCAAGTCCCATGTTTATACTATGCTAAACCTAAAATTTCCTAAAATTTGTGCAAAGTACATGTACAATTTTGGAAGAAAATTATCCATGCTGATCTATATGAATTCTAAGGACAAAATTGTTCTTGATGAACCTTAGAATTTTCAAGTACCTGCAAATAATCCTGTCAATCAGCCTAAGAAATATAAAATGTTTTTCCTGACAGCAGTGTACCATGTCATTACAATGCCCATTTTATATGGTAAAACTCTACCCAAAAAGACAAAACTGCAGCTTGAGGTAGGATGACAGCATCATGATATTTTTGAAGCAGATTTTTGAATAGACTTTTATGGAGAATCAATCTCTGGTTTAGTAGGTTACATGCATACGCAATGTAACTGTTTAGAGTAAGGTAAATAAGCAGGAATAGCATCAGTCCAGAGGAAGGTGGTGTGCTAAAAGTAGATGATCTTTTCCTGATTATGGTAACCACACTGCTAATGTGTAATTAAGAACATTAGTTCAGTAAGCCGAGGTACAAAGCAATTTTAATTGACAACAATCCTTTCTTTCTAAGGTTTAGCTGAGACTTACTAATTGAAGACTGCTCTTTTGCTGATGTTTTGGAAATGTGTGATCAGGGAGAAGGAGGGAAAAGGGAAAATAACTTGCCCTTCTGCTCTGTGTGCTGCTTGCAGAGGAATTCTTGGCATTTAAACACAATGAATTGAAAACAAGCTCTGTGCAAGTGGAATGTCTTTAGCATATTTAAGGGAGTCCTACCTGTTGGTATAGCACTAAAGCTGTAGGGTCGCTGTTATTAAACAGTGGAAGCAGAACAGCTCTTGCAATTCCAAAAGGAAGTGGAGGGATGGCATCTGATGTTGGAGGATGGACAGGCTAGACTTCATTTGGAGGAAAAAAGTAGGTATACTGCTTCAAGCCAGATCTGAAGCTGCAACTAAACCAGACAGCATGATTTGAGCACCTCAGATAATTTAGTGTGTTATTTGCCAGAAGATGATGAAGAGCTAAGGGACATCCTCTAAATTTTCGGGTAAATATTTGTCTATGCTGAATTTCAAATTATTTTTTCTTGTTGGTGTTCTAGTTTCTGAAAAATTGCCTGCAACTGCTGGCAGTCAGCATGGTTTAGAGCAGTCTTTGGCTGTTCAAGGACAGGAGGGATTTAACACCTTTGTATCCTCTGTATCTTTCCATGCTTTCCATGAGCTTGACTTTCTGACTTGCAGCCAAGTCTTCCTGTCTGATAACTGCCTGCTTGCTGGGAATGCTGCCAAATGCCAGCACCTGTCAGAGCAGGACACACTGCAGGGACACGACCCCCGCTGTTGATCCACAGGGTGTTGGGATTCAGGGGTGGGGGCAGGCCAAGAGGACAGCTGTGAATCTCCTCCTCTTGGCAGGAGCTGAGCCATGTATTCTCTGATACTGTGGGTTTGCTGTATCAGGACTAAAAGATAAATGCCCTAAAGAAGCAAGTCAGTGATCTAATCATATAGATGAAAATAAAAATGCGTTATAGCTGTGAGCCTTTACTGCATGAAATGAATTTTATTTTGTATAGCTTTAGAATAACCTTAGTTCCCTGCTCAGCAGCACACTTGATTATCCCATCTCCTGTTGAGATTTGTCTCTGAGGTTCTTCTCCATCCTTTTGTCTTCTAACAGCCCTCTGTGATGCTCAGTTGTCCAGATCCATGCCTGCTTGCTGTCTGTGCATCTGCAAGAAATGATGGAACTGATTTAGGTCTTACACAGCAGCTCTGCTACTTTGTTATCTAAACAATTTTATTTCTCCATACAAACTTCAGAGGAGAGAGTGAGTACCCTATCCTTGTCCAGTCCTTTCCCTGTGAGATAAGTTACAAAATCCTGTCTCTTCATAAGATAGGAAGAGGGTTTTTTTTTGTTTTAGTAATGCAAAGCCTTAGTTCTGTTCGATGTTAAACATAGTAGTACTTAGTCATATTAAATTAAAATAATGTTAATTCTGAAGTTTCAACTCAAGAATGTGAAATGGCTTTAAAACCAAAGCAATTGTTCATTTTTATGAGTTAAGATGAATAAGTATTTGTGGTAGCTTTCTGATGAAAGTTTATTTTGGATAAATCATTTGAGAGTGTTTCAGCTGTTTAACACAATCTTTCTTGAGTGTTGACAGTTGTTTTCACATACTGGAGTATGGGAATGACTTCATAGGAAACATTAAGTTATTTATGCCTTGAATCTTGCAGCAGATGAAAATGTTTCTCCTTTGGTATTGCATTATGACCACTCCCAATCAGTTTGTGCTATAGGACCTTATCCTTGCCAGTTATTTCATAAATCAAATCCTATTGCTTCAATAAAAAGACCAAAAGGAAGATTGTGTATATGTACAGCTTTTGTCTGGCAACATTAAGTCACCATTTAATGTGGGTAATGTTAGGGCAGGTGTCAGTCATTGCATTTTTCCATTATTTTGAAAAAATAAAAACAGTGAAGCAATTTTCAGTTTAGAGTACATTTTCTAGAAAACTCCATAACAGAGTATGGAGAAGGAGCTGGAGACAAGTGACCCAGGAACAGTTGCCTGGGAATGGCTTCTTTAGTGTCCTGTCCTTTGGCTTTTATCAAAGGGGGTGGTGTAAGGCTTGAAGAACCACCTATTGCTCCAACTGCATCTTCTCCCGCCCCTTGTACTCCCAAGACAAGGAGGTTTTGTTCAAATTTCAAACATTCTCATATTACCAAGTCAAGTGAAGGACACAGAGGGGAGAGGTTTGCTTTATAAACAGTAAGAAAATAGTGTGTCTGAGAAGATGGAAGCATTGAGAAGTGTTTGAGTACATAGTCACAATATGTATTGGCTGACACTGTGACAGAACCTCTTCTCCATAAACAAAGGTATGTATTACTTATTTTGCTGATGTTATTTTCAGTCAACCAAATGGCTATTTATTGAATTTATGCTGTACATTTAATAAGTAAAAGATAAAGCAAACATTATTATTCATCACAACAAAAATTTTAAACATTTCAGTAAAAATAACCCCTAGAATGCCATAAAATACTCAGGATGTAGCATGTGTGAAGTTACATGGCACTTGAAAGGTTTAGGCCTTGGAAATTCCTAAAATGTCACATTTCCTTAAAGTGTTACTGTGCAAAACCTGTGTGTGTTGTTTAGTCTTGAGTGCCGTAATATGGGATACTTCAGCAATACTGTTCAAAGTGCTGGAAGATAGACCAATACACATAAATGTTTTTGTTCTTAATAATGTTCTTTAGACATTGGAGCAGGGTAAGGTGATGCTGTGCTTACTAGGCCTGAGCTGTAATCACCTGCACTGAGCACTGCAGAAATAAATTGGCTGGTTCTGCTTTCTTAAATACTTCGGTGTCTGACAGCTTCTGATGTTATCGGTCTGTGTGAGATGGCTTCAGATTTCTCAAACACTCTGTAGATGGTTAAGTCAGGACTTGGGATCATTATGTTTCTTACTGTCATATGTATGTTGGCAATGACAAAAGCATGAAAAGATTAGAGTGCAGGAGCATATTTGCTATCCTTTATTTTATGTTTGATTCTTCTGCCAATGTAGTTACAGATTCAGCGCTCCCTTCCTGGCCTCCCAATAGTTACTTGATGCTTTCCAAATACTCCCCTCCTATTCCTTCTGGGCTGTACAATAAAAAGATCACATTTAAATGCTCTACCTCAGCTGGTCTTTGGGAGAAAACTTGTCTGACCTCCTGGCAGTTGCCACTTGACCTGATGGCAGATATTTCACTGATGACAGATATTTCAGTGACATACCATAAAATCATTTGCCTGTCCTTTATCTCACAGGTGTTAGTGATTAATGCTTTTCTTATTAAAGAGATCAGCTAAAAATTTGGATCATCTCTTTCCACAGTTAAGTAATGTGTTCCTGGAAATAGAAGTGCTTCTCCCATGTTATTTTGAACCAATGTGTAACTTTGCTTCTTCACTCCCAAACAATTACACCATTTCCTTAAATACAGTTACTTTCTGTGCCCTGAGGTATATTTACTTAAAAAAAATCATAAAATATTGGTAAAATGCTTAACAAGCTTCTCAAATTTGAAGTTAACACCTTCTGCTTCTCTAGTTTAGGCATTTAATCCTATAAACAGCCTTGCCCCTGTTGAAGTATTTGCAGAAGACCTGCTCTGTAGAGCATCAGGGGTGATGTGCATTAAGAGTTAAGAGAATGGATTCCATGCACTTGTTTGCATTTAAGTCACTGAATGACACTATTTGTAAATTTGCCAGTCAGGACAAACTAATGCAGTGTTTCTTTCACTCAAAGGTTTGGGGAAGATGAGCTTATAAAATTCAATGATCTTGAGATTCTCAGATGGATGCCACACCTGAGGTGCTTAGTGCTATTAAACTATTGCTTTCTGGCTCTTTAGTGAGGACTGAACTGTGATTATTTACAGGGTGAATCTTTCTTTCCTAAGGGATCATAATTAACCACCAGCAACTATGCTAGGAATCTCAACAACTCATGGTGTTGAGCACTAGACTGATAATTGCTTACTTATGAAGCTTTCTCATTGGTTGTGGTGTGCTTTTCTGTCCTGTCTGCACTCACACCCAAAAATGAATTCTATATTTCTAGGGCAGTTGCTTAAGGCCATTTTTTTCAATTGGTAATGACTTTTGAATGAGTTTATAATCTGTCCATGTTGACATACTCTGATAACTATAGAAATGGATATAGAGAGGTCACTTCTTAATCTCTAGCAACTTATTATCTGTTTCTACAGTCTAGAGTTTAGAAAATTGTGTCCACAGTCTAGCTTCACAAGCTCATAAAAAAGGGAATAGCTGACCTGAATTCTTATGTTTCTTTTCTCCTTTTTAGGCTTGCTTGAGGGAACTCCTTTTGTTGGCCAAGCAAATAGAGACTGGGACTCTTAATTTTTGATATAAATCGTGATTCTACTTCATCTACTTCATCCTCTGTCCTTTACCAGAGAGATTCCACTCTGATTTACACTCAGACAGCACAAATGAACAGAAATGACTTCTTCTAGTGTATCTACTCTTGAAAGACCTTTCATAGTGTTAATTGTGTAAATCCTCTACAGCATTTGAGGGTTAGGATGTTTAGAATCCAGTGTGGGAATTGAGCTGTAAAGTAATTGAACACTTCTACAGTCAGCTTCCTTAAGTTAGTGTTATTGAACTAGTTCTCTGATTTTATTTTTTGGCAATTTTTTTATGGGACCTGCAGTTGTGAATCTGTAACATTTTTAATCTGTAACTTATTCAGGGGGTATTCTTTGTCAAATGTTTGTACTGTGTTATCCTTTAGGCAATTTAACACTTTCCACAGTTTTCCACAGCTGGTAGTAAATACACATTGGAAGGCTGTGGTGTTTTTTTGGTTTACTTGTAGTTTCTTCCTCACTTTTTAAATTACTTTTTGAGATTTCAAAACTTTCATGTTTGAGTTGTGGTAAACAAAGGTGGTGTCTCTTTAGAGGGTTTTTTTTAGTACTCAGACCTGACGATATGTTAATGTTCATCTTCCAAAATACTCTTCTATTTTTAGCATATTTTTTTAGTCACAGAAACTTTTTGTTTCTGTAAATTCACAGCTCTTCTAATATCAGTGCTCTGCTATATTCATGACTCCAACCTTGGCCTGCTGTACACATTGTGTATAAAGACTTCACAGCAAAGCTGGCTGTACTCCTGCCTCAGCAGGTTTTAATCCTGTTAAGCCTAAAAGAGAGTGCAAGGTTTTAAAGCCAAAACAGTTGAATATGATAATCTGCTATCACTTACAAATGGTTTTCCTCAACAACTCCCACTCCCAAAAATACCTGAAAGCACATAAACACACACACACACACACACACACACACACACTCACACTGTAAAATCCAACTCCATCATTAAATAAAACTCTTAAAACACTAAATAAGACTCTTAAAATGTGTGTGCCATACCAATTTAAAATGACTTTAGGAATTCTTATGTAAGCAGCAAGTGCTCAAATCTGAAAATTGTCTAGCTAGATGAAACACCTGCTTTACAGGTGCCTGTACACAGGATAACTATTCTGTTAACATTTTATAACTTTGTGTACCAATGAAAGAAGGTTCAGACATTTATACTTCATTTTACTTTTGCTGCTGCAGACAAACCAGTTGAACAACAGTGAAATGCCACTGTGCACATACACAATACTGCTAAGTCAGAATGCCAAGGAAATATATGAATTTTGCATATCCTCTCTTACTCTGCTCAATAGTGTGACGTATCTTGGAAAACAGGGCACTGTGAGTAGATGAAATAGCTGAAATATTCTACTTGCTAGGAAATTTGTTGGGGACAGAAAGGAAAAACTAGTGAATGAACATTGATGAACAGCTGCTTGCTAGAAGTATTGCTCCCTTCTGCAGGTGAGGGACCCTCACAGAGGGGCTCTTGCCCCTGTAAATTCTAGTAAGCTGTAGAACATGCTGTTATGTGAGCTGAATTTATTTATGGATGTATACATGTAACTAAACTGTATATTTGTCTGGTGCTTCATTTCTAGTTGCTGAAGGAAGACCTAGTGTCAGGATTACCCTTCTGGTAGGACTTGTTTCACTCCGTGATTTTTAGCACATAAGCATCATCTCAGTTAAATCCCTGAAGTTGGATATATCCATGACCTTTGTGAAAGTGTACAGAACATCAAAACAACAATAGCTCTGTTCTACTGAATTGTGTGAATTTACTTTAAGGGACAAGCATTCTGAAAATCCTTGACATACGTAAGATATTAATAGCTTTCAGATTCCTAAGATAAC